ATTTTGTTTAAGAACTGATGCCTCCAATACTGGCTTAGGTGCGGTGTTACTACAATACCATGATGGTATTCCCTTCCCTGTATGCTTCCTAAGCCGGAAACTCCTTCCTGCAGAAACGAGATACTCCACCATAGAAAAGGAATGTTTGGCCCTTGTGTGGGGTATCTCCAAGCTTAAATTTTAATTACTGGGAAAAGAATTCATTTTAGAGACGGATCACAAACCTTTGATATACCTAGAAACTTTTAAGGGAACCAACAGTCGCCTCTTGAGGTGGACATTGGCTCTCCAAGCCAATGGAACAAGCTCCCGAGTACAGTTATTGAGGCTAAAACGTTATGTAGTTTTAAAAATAGGTTAGATAAATACTTGAGTGGGTGTGGGTGGGTGTGAGTTGGACCTGACTAGCTTGTGGTGCTGGGTCTGGTACAGTGCTCCATCCTTGAGTGGGGATGACCAGACTGGGTGGGTCATTGGGATAATCCGGGGGGTGGGTCATTGGTCTAATCTGGGGGGGGAGGGACATGGACCTGCTCCGCATGGGTCAGTAGGCCTGTTGCAGTGTTCCTTCTTTCTTATGTTCTTATACTGTGTATATCCATGGTTCATCCAATTATTTCTCTGACTGGTTAAGTCGTGACTGTCAGTAGAAGATTTGTTGCCTTACGTGACTTCCACGTGTTAGAACTTTTTCCTCGCCTATTCTTCTTATACTCCTTGACTATAAGTCTTGGTATGGGGGAGTGTGAGGGAAAAGTTCAACAGATAGGAGTAGCGAGCGAGTATATGGTAACGATAGTTTGATTGCCGGCTGCTTGTTAAGGTAGGGTAAGTCAAGCTCCCGCTATCCCCCCCCTTCCCCCACCCCAAAAGGTGACGTGTGGGGCTCCGGCTAAACAGTAATCACTCGACTCACAGCTCCCAGCACAACTCTTGGAATGACAGATTGGGTCACCTGCTAACCAATGAGAAGTATTGAAGGAGACGGACTAATGTCCCAAGACGTCACATGTTGGATCTACCAACCTGATTACTAGTAGGCAATAGCAGACCATAACCCCTCATCTTGGTAGTGGTAAAGAATCTGCTTTCCTGTCATCTGGACTGACTATTCAAGGCTATAGACTCTGAAGAACTGGCTGTTGGGTTGTCACCAACACCTGTGACCCTCCCCCACACACATCATCAACATCGGCTATAATCTCTACAAGACTGTGTCAACATCAACCAGACACCCAAGTTTAAGTGTATATATTAGCGTTGAATTCAGATATTATTTATATTTTTCATTTTTCATTTTTCTTTAAAGTAGGATAAATCTTTCATATTTAAGTATTTTATATTTTCTAAATAATGAAGTGTTTATGTTTGTCAGTTTTTATTCTTTTTCTATTCATTAATTTTCCTGAGGAGGAGCCAGCCTTGGTAATATTGACTGAAGTTGTTACAGGGCTGAGTAAGCCTTCACAGAAGCAGTATTGTTAGGCTAAGTAAATGCTATTATTATATTTCCCTACAATATATTTGTGCATCAAAACATTCGCGAATGCTACAGTACAGTATTATTATATTTCCCTACATCATATTTGCGCACCAAACATTCATGAATTTTCAAGATTTGCGAGGTTCTTGATCCCCTAACCCTCATGAATGTGGAGGGCCTCCTGTATAAGGAAAGTGTTCAGGCAAATTCCAGGCATCCCTCAGCAGTCAATCAATGAGGCCAGGGTTACCTACATGGTTCTTGTGGTAACTTGAGGGAATACATTACGACAAAGCTAGACAAATAGGAATTAAAGCCTTTTTCTTTTCAGAGTATGTGCAGACTGCTTCATCTACAACTTACTCATGTACCAGGAGATCCTCAGCTTTTACTGCACATGATGAATATCACTTCTAAAATTGTCACAATTTTGATAAAAACTGTGAAACAATCAGACAAGTCAGCAATTTCTGCTTATGTATTTCACAAGTACAGTAGGGCCCCACTTATACGGCAGGTTAGGTTCCAGGCTACCGCCATAAAGTGGAACACTCTTTTTTCTACTTATAAATGCACATAAATGCTAGATAATGTATTTACACTGACATATATTAAATTAGCAATAGAACTAGGCATTAAAAAACACAATAAAAAATAAAATACACACACAGTACATTTATTACTTACCTTAAAATACTTAATATGAATGTGTGAGAGGTGAGTGGGAGTGGCAATGTAGTTATTGAATCAAATCATGAGATGGCAGACCATCATCCTCTGATTCTTCAACTAATTTGATTCGTTTTGGAGATTTGTGTGAAGCTTTTGAAGGAGTGTATGTTGTTGTTGATGTTGAAGGCTGTCCAAGGCTAGCTGTTGACGTTGAAGGCTGCTCAGGGCTAGCTGTTGATGATAAATTAGACACATGTGTAACAAGAGTTACACATGTGTAATTTATCAACATGTCGGTTCTATGAACCATTCATCTAAAAGCTAGCTGTTGATGTTAAAGGCTGTTCAAGGTTTTAACTTGCAGTCGCCAGCTGCATTAGCTCCTAATAAGAGTGTTATCCTGTCTTTTGCAGCTTTGAAGCCAGGCACTGACTTCTTTTCCTTAGCAATAAATGTCCTAGATGGCATCTTCTTCCAAAATAATGCAGTCTCATCCACATTAAAAATCTGTTACTTGGTATATCCACCACATTCTATTATCTTGACTAGCTCACATGGATAATTTTCTGCAGCTAAATTGTCGGCGCTTGCAGCTTCACCCTGCACTCTGATGTTGTGAAGTTGACTTCTTTCCTTAAACCTATTAAACCAGCTTCTGCTAGCTGAGAATTTATCTTCAGCAGCTTCCTCCCCTCTCTCAGCCTTCATAGAATTGAAGAGACTTAGGGTCTTGGACTGGATAATGGCTCTGCTTAAAGGCACATTGTGACTAGTCTGATCATCAATCCACACCATTAAAAGTTTTTCCATGTCAGCAATAAGGTCATCACATTTTCTTATAACTTTAGTGGTCACTGGTGTAGCACTTTTAATTTCCTGCAACACTTTCTCCTTTCTCCAAACCAAGCTTACGTGCTATCTCAGCCACTGACATGCCTTGTTCGCTAAGTTTAATAATTTTTAACTTGGCACTCAAAGTAAGAGGCTTACGACTCTTCTTTTTATCACAACTAAGCTTAGATGCCATCGTCAACGAGAGCCAACGGAGCTCAGACAGTGTAAAAACAAACTGAACGGGTGGTGGACGATCACTCAGTCAGGCGAAATAGACGGTATTAATACGTGTCCAGTTTTAATTCATTCACGTATGTTTGTAAGAGTTTGAGAAACTTTTACCTTACAATATTTTTTTTATTATAATAATTAAATCACAAAACAAATACTCTTACATTGTGTACAAGTTGAACAAGTTAGTACAGAATAATAAACAGCAATACCCCCATTCTCATACAACACACCATTTTTATACTTAATGATGATATTATTATTATTATTTTTATAATAATCATAATAAAAAAGAAGTGCTAAACCCACAAGGTTTCTGAACAGCTATAGAGTGAAGGCATACGAAAGGAATATTTTTCTACAGTTATCTCCTAGTAACAGGTGATGGACTAGATAAAACTTAATTCTTCCGACACTCCTACAAACCATTTGGTAAACATCTCATATTTATATCAATTTTTATACTGCGAGTGCATGCATCATGTTTGTGTGTTACATAATGTGTTTCTTAAATAATTTTGAAAAAAAATATCATAGATAGATTAAGGGAAATGTCTATATTAACGTAATATGCGACATTTAATGGGCCCAAGAGATTATTATATATTATTATTATTATTATGGCATCAAGAGTAGAGAGACTCTTAGTGATTTTAATATGTACCTGCATGCCAGCACAGTGTGTAAGTATATTTAGGTACAGGTACACATGTTTAATTATCAGAGTACATATAAATTATGCAGTAACCTTAAAACACTTGAAATTTTGGAAAGTTTCCAGACATAATAAAGAGATGTGCTCAGGGAGAATGTAAACAAACTGGGTGGGCCGCAATGACCGTATTAGAAAGACAGGTGGGGGGAGCTGTATAGTGAGTTTTGGTCATAATTTGAAATGTCTGTATTAGCGGAACACCATAAAGCGAAATGCCGTAAAGCAGGGCCCTACTGTATCAGCAGAAACAGGTAACTACAGCAAATGAAAATAAAACTGGTAATCCCTACAGAATTTCAAGGACAAATATGCCCAGGGTGAAGAGAGGAACAACCGGCTACTGTCCTGATGGTGTCTTAACCCATACATGGAGAAATAGGAAAGGAATCACTATGTGTCCTAATGCTGGCATTGGAACTATCAGCCAAGTCCTCATGTATGATGCCACTGGATGTCTAATGTTCTCAGGTCATTAAGGTCTACAACTCTCTAATGTGGGTGGCACTGACAAAAGTGAGATGCTTACACCTCTCTCTATGTTTTTGACCTTGTTGCTTACAATTCTCTGATCCTGTACAAAAAGGACTGCAAGTTACTCAAGCAGGAGTCTATTACACTGAAAGAGTTCAGGCAGTATATATTTACATTGCAAGAACACACAAACCAAGGCCATTCATAATTTCCTTAGATGATATGCCAGGTGTGCAACAGGAACTGCTTTATATTCTTCCACCAAGAGCAAATATAACTATTTATTCTCTTAGATATATTTCCACTTGTTATATGTATAATTGGACTTTGCTTCATCACATGAATTAGCAATCATTTGCCAACTATTAAAATATATTTTCATATTTTTGAACTATTTTAGGGTATTTTTATATAAATACTTTGTGTAACTAATACCTTTACTACCCCCTCCCACCTTATTTTTTTTACAATTTGTCATTTCAACAAAAAACAATAAATATACCATGAACAGACACTGGAGCCATTATGGGATTGACAGGACACCACCAGGTCTAATACTGTAACTCATTTCTACAAATTTCTACAAAAATCTACCTTAATTAGGGGAGCTCTGATTTGCATGATGACCAGAGACAGCTTGGCTACAAGGTGAAGGTCTGCACTTGTGGTAACCTCATTGCTGTTTGGATCATATGGATCACTGCCAACAAGTGGATAAATAGCAGGATGGAATATCAGACCAATCTGGAAAACAAAAACTTGATTAATAAATTCAACAATTACAATAGTGTCAAGTGTCCTAAAATGTCTCCATAAACATTACTGAAACAGGCAGAGGATGTCTTCTCTACTAACTATTTTGAAACTCTTTCCTCATAAATTAAGAAAGCTTTAATTGGTACATCTCAAAATCTTTCTTGCAATTCCTGTGCCAAAAGATGAGCTATGGTTTGACAAGAGTTATTCCATTTACCCTGAAAACTTAATCCAGACACTGAATGATAGAAACACCTGTCCACACTGCCCATGGGTTTAGTTATGACTACTATCAATCTAATGATAATGCTATTATATCTTTATGCTATATCAGTCCTGTATGTTATATTTATGCTGTTTGATAAAATGTAGATATTTATTTTAACTTTTCATTTAAGGTACACTCTGAATCTACTCATTATCTTTAGATGACTTTTTCTGGAAAGCATGAAATGATTTTATATCAGCAAAATGATCTTACGAATGTATGTGCTAAAGTTCATATCCTTTCTATACACTACTCTCTTTCAGTAACATTGCCAACAACCCAATTAACATGAGCTTTTACAAAACAAGCATACACCCCATTATTATAGTAGTAAAAAAAGCTTCAACATAATTTAGATATAAAGGCAGAATTCACAGGGTTTAGGAGGTGGTTTGGAAATTTAAAAAGAATGAAGCAGAATTAAGATGACTAAAGGGTAAATAAATAAATCTGAGGTGGAAGTAAGGATGGGTAGGGGTCATTCCAGGAAGGGTTGGAGGTTGAGGGGTGTAGGTCATATGTGGCTTCAACATCCAGCAGACATGCACAATATAAGTGGAGAAAATTTTTTTTAGAATCTCACAAGAAGTTAAATGTGATAAATATGTATTTAAGAAGAGACTGGACTCTGAGAGTCATATGAACTATGCTATTTGTGCATTTTGGTAAAGCCTCTTATTATTTGAATGGTGATTTTTTTCTTTGGGGTCATCCTACCTTGGTGGGATATGGTTGTAGTAAAAAAAATAACATATATATACAGTATATACACATTCATAAATATGTTCCCTGTAGTGGAGGGAAGGCGGGGCAGGGGTCGGCCTAGGAAAGGCTGGACGGAGGGGGTAAAGGAGGTTTTCTGTGCGAGGGGTTTGGACTTCAGGAAGCATGCACGAGAGTGTTAGATAGGAGCGAATGGAGACAAATGGTTTTTAGGACTTGATGTGCTGTTGGAGTGTGAGCACGGTAACATTTATGAAGGGATTCAGGGGAAACCAGCAGGCTGGACTGGAGTCCTGGAGATGGGAAGTACAGTGCTTGCACTCTGAGGGAGGGATGTGAATGTTGCCGTTTTATAATTGTAGTGTAAGCACGCCTCTGGCAAGACAGTGGAAGCGGCCGATGGTGGAAGCGGCCAATGTGTTAATAAAAAAAAATAATTAATTTATTTCCTACCAAGGTTGGGTGGAGATAACATCATACTGCTGACAGTTGGTAACAAAGACACTACTGCAGTGAAGACCTTCAATTGTTCAAACAAATATCTTCACTGTAGTTGTCTTATCATACAGTTACTGCAAAAGCATACCTTTTCTGTGGATAAATTGGTGATAAGAAGATCCACTGCCAGTTGGCCAACATTTCCCACACACACTGACGGCTGAAAAAAAGAAAAAAATATTGTGAAATTACAATACAATTTTTATTTCTTTATGCAGTAGAAATAATAAAGCATTAGTAGGCACAAAAGAAAGCCATGTTAAGTCCTAAAAACCATTTGTCTCCATTCGCTCCTATTTAACATGCTCAGGCATGCTTGCTGGAAGTCCAAGCCCCCCCACACCCAAAACCTCCTATACCCCGTCCCTCCAACCTTTCCTAGGATGACCCCTACTCTGCCTTCCTTCTACTACAGATTTAAACACTCTCAAAGTCATTATAATTTGTTCCATTCTCTATACATATCCAAACCACCTCAATAACCCCTCCTCAACCCTATAGATAATAGTTTAGGTAATCTTTCACCTTCTCCTAATCTCCTAATTTCCAAACTACAAATTCTCTGCATAATATTCACACCACACATTGCTCTCACATGACATCTCCACTGCCTCCAGCTTTCTCCTTGTTGCAACATTCACCACCCATGTTTCACACCCATACAAGAGCATTGGTATAACTATAAGTACTCTCTTACATTCCCCTCTTTGCTTCCATGGACAAAGTTCTTTGTCTCCACAGATTTCTAAGTGCACCATTCGCCTTTTTGCCCCTCATCAGATCAGTTCTCTCTGGTTTTTGTTACTGCAGTCACCCTAATTCCATACACAGTACAGTGGACCCTCGGTTTCATAAACCTCGTGCTTCGTAAATTTCGCCTTTCGACAATTTTTTTTGTCAAAATATAGGCTCTCCATTTGTCGGTCATCCAGAATGCGTATGAGCGGCCTCCCAGCGTATGCGCCATGCAAAGGCGCCCCACACACCATTCCCAGTCGGTGTGGCATTGTTTATTGGCAAGTGACCATCACCCCATGCATTCATACGATACATTTCGAAATACAGTGGACCCTCAACCAGCGATATTAATCCGTTCCTGAGAGCTCATCGTTAGTCAGAATTATCATTAGTCAAGTTACCTTTATTGAAGATCTGGTGATGATTGATGGGATGGGAGGAGGGGAGAGGTGTTAGTGTTTAGAAGGGGAATCCCCTTCCATTAGCACTTGAGGCAGCAAGTCTTTTTCTGGGGTTACTTCCCTTGTTCTTTTAATGCCACTAGGACCAGCTTCAGAGTCACTGGACTTCTGTCGCACAACATATCTGTCCATAGAGGCCTGCACCTCTTGTTCCTTTATGACTTTCCTAAAGTGGTTCACAACATTGTCAGTGTAATAGTCACCAGCACGGCTTGCAGTAGCTGTGTCAGGGTGATTTTCATCAAAAAAGGTTTGCATTCAAGCCACTTCACACACATTTCCTTTATCTTAGAAGTAGGCAACTTCTTCAATTTCTCTCTCCCCTCCTCCGAAGCAGTTTCCTCAGGTGTGCCCTCTTAAGAACATAAGAACGAAGGAACACTGCAGAAGGCCTACTGGCCCATGCTGTTGAAGATGATCTAGCAGCTCATCAGTGGTTAGTTCTTCACTGTCCTCCACCACCAACTCTTCCACATCCTCCCCACTAACCTCCAACCCCAAGGACTTCCCCAATGCCACAATGGATTCCTCAACTGGCATAGGATTCTCAGGGTTAGCCTCAAACCCTTCAAAATCCCTTTTGTCTACACATTCTGGCCACAGTTTTTTCCAAGCAGAGTTCAATGTCCTCTTAGTCACTTCCTCCCAAGCCTTACCTATAATGTTTACACAATTGAGGATGGTAAAATGATCTTTCCAAAACTCTCTTAGAGTCAGTTGAGTTTCTGAGGTCACTACAAAGCACCTTTCAAACATGGCTTTTGTGTACAGTTTCTTGAAGTTGGAAATAACCTGCTGGTCCATGGGCTGCAGGAAAGGAGTGGTATTAGGAGGCAAAACCTTCACCTTAATGAAGCTCATGTCCCTAGAAAGTCGCTCTGCCAAGTCTGAAGGATGACCAGGAGCATTGTCTAATACCAGGAGGCACTTAAGGTCTAATTTCTTTTCAATTAGGTAATTTTTCACATTGGGGGCAAATGCATGATGTAACCAGTCATAGAAAAAGTCCCTAGTGACCCATGCCTTACTGTTTGCCCTCCACAGCACACACAAATTAGCATTGAAGACATTGTTTTTCCTGAACACTCTGGGAGTTTCAGAGTGATACACCAATAAAGGGTTCACTTTGCAATCACCAGTAGCATTGACACACATCAACAGAGTAAGCCTGTCTTTCATAGGCTTATGTCCTGGGAGTGCCTTTTCCTCCTGAGTAATGTATGTCCTGCTTGGCATTTTCTTCCAAAACAGGCCTGTTTCGTCACAATTAAACACTTGTTCAGGTTTCAGTCCTTCACTGTCTATGTACTCCTTGAATTCCTGCACATATTTTTCAGCCGATTTGTGGTCCGAACTGGCAGCCTCACCATGCCTTATCACACTATGAATGCCACTACGCTTCTCAAATCTCTCAAACCAACCTTTGCTGGCCTTAAATTCACTCACATCACTAGTTGCTGGCATTTTTCTAATTAAATCGTCATGCAACTTCCTAGCCTTTTCACATATGATCGCTTGAGAGATGCTGTCTCCTGCTATCTGTTTCTCATTTATCCACACCAGTAAAAGTCTCTCAACATCTTCTATCACTTGCGATCTCAGTTTCGAAAACATAGTTGCACCTTTGGCAAGAACAGCTTCCTTGATTGCAGTTTTCTTGCCCACAATAGTAGCGATGGTTGATTGGGGTTTATTATACAACCTGACCAGCTCAGAGATACGCACTCCACTTTCATATTTTTCAATGATCTCTTTCTTCATCTCCATAGTAATTCTCACCCTTTTTGCTGTAGGGTTGGCACTAGAAGCTTTCTTGGGGCCCATGGTGACTTATTTTGCAGGTGCAATCACTAAAAAGGCTGTGATAATATGAAATGTTCCAGTTGTATGTTTGGAAGCGACCGTGGTGGCTGGCTGGCTTGTAAACACTGGCACCCAAGGGACAAGTGAGGCGCGCTCAGGCCAAAGTGGACGCGTATGGCACGGAACGAATAGCGCTGGTCGGGTTTTTAAGCGCTAGTCGAGGCAAAATTTTTGCGTTAAAATGTATCGCTAGTCAGATTTATCGTTAATCGTTGCCATCGTTGGTCGAGGGTCCACTGTATTCCATTTCTTTTTTGTGCTTGCAACTGCTAAATAAGCCACCATGGGCCCAAAGAAAGCTTCTAGTACCAGCCCTTCGCTAAAGAATGTGAGAAACACTATAGAAATTCAAGAAAGAAATCATTGAAAAATATGAAAGTGGCATGCGTGTGGCCCATCTTGCCAGGATGTATGGGGAGCCCCATACAACCATCGCTTCCATCGTGGTGAAGAAAAAGGAAATCAAGGGAGCTGTTGTTTTGAAAGGGTTAGATATGCTCACAAAAAAGAGATCGCAAATACCCGAAGATGTTGAGAATTTGTTGTTGGTGTGGATCAACCAAAAACAGTTAGCAGGAGATAGTGTTATGCAGTCGATAATTTGTGAAAAGGCAAGGCAGTTGCGTGCCGATCTCGCAAAGAAAATGCCTGGAACGAGTGCTGATGTTAATGGATTTAAGGCCAGCAAAAGCTGGTTTGAGAGATTTAAGAAGTGTAGTGGCATACATGGTGTGGTAAGGCATGGTGAGGCTGCAAGTTCTGATAAATGTGTGGCTGAAAAATTCGTGCAGGAATTCAAGGACTATGTAGAGGCTGAAGGATTCGTCCCCCAATAAGTGTTCATTTGTGATGAAAATGGCCTCTTTTGGAAGAAAATGCCAAAGAGGACCTACATCACACAGGAGGAAACGGCACTGCCAGGACACAAGCCTATGAAAGACAGGCTAACTCTCATGTTTTGTGGTAATGCTAGTGGGGATTTCAAAGTGAAGCCTTTACTGGTGTATCACTCTGAAAATCCCAGAGTGTTCAAGAAACACAGTGTCACCAAGAGTAAATTGTGTATGATGTGGAAGGCTAACAGTAAGGCATTGGTCACGAGGGAAATTTTCCTTGATTGGTTCAATGAAGTGTTTGGCCCAAGTGTGAAGAAATACCTCCTGGAAAATAAATTGCCACTCAAGTGCCTCCTGGTAATGGACAATGCTTTTGCTCATCCTCCAGACCTGGATGACCAAATGGTGGATGGGTTTAGTTTCATCAGCGAAGTTCTTGCCCCCTAATACCACTCCTCTCATCCAGCCCATGGACAAGCAGATCATTTCAAACTTCAAAAAACTCTACACCAATGTTTCAAAGGTGCTTTGATGTGACCTCACACACTCAACTGACCCTAAAAGAGTTCTGGAAAAATCACTTCAATATCCTCCATTGCATAGGCCTTATAGATAAGGCTTGTCAGGGAGTGACTTCCAGGACATTGAACTCTGCTTGGAGAAAATTGTGACCAGGCTGAAGGTTCTGAGGCTGACCCTGACAACCCTATGCCAGTTGTGGAATCTATTGTGGCATTGGGGAATTCCATGGGGTTGGATGTGACTAGCCAGGATGTGGAAAAGTTGGTGGAGGACCACAGTGAAGAGCTAACCATTGAAGAGCTGCAAGACCTTTATCTGCAACAGCAACAGACCACAGCTCATGAAACTGCTTCAGAGGAGGAGGAAGAGAGATGGAAGAAAGTGCCTTCTTCAAAGATTAAGGATATTTGTGCAAAGTGGAGTGATGTGCAAATGTTTGTGGAGGAACATCACCCTGACAAAGCTGTTGCAAGCCGTGTCTGCAACATGTACAATGAAGATGTCTTGTCCCATTTTAAAGAGATGCCAGAAACAGAGTTCACTGGAACAATTTTTTAGCAACAGGGGTTCAGTGACTCTCAAGCTGGTCCTAGTGGCATTAAAAAACAAAGACGGGAAGTAACCCCGGATAAGGACATTGTACCTAAAGTCTATGGAAGGGGATTCCTCTTCCAAACAATAGTGTAACTTCTCCATCCTCTCCCCTCCTACTGTCTCCCATACACCAACAAGAGTCTTCAATAAAGGTAAGTGTGATGTTATTATTTTTTTATACTTGATGTCTCATTGTTTTCTGTATGTAAATCTATAATGTAAAAAAAATATTTTTTGTTAATACTTTTGGGTGTCTGGAACGGATTAATTGGATACACATTATTTCTTATGGGGAAAATGGTTTCACCATTCATAAATTTAGTTTTTCGTCAGACTCTCTGGAACGTATTAATTATGAAGTTTGAGGGTCCACTGTATCATTATATTAAAAATAATGAGTACAGTATAATAGATATAATATTTAGATCAGAAAATAATAGTTGAAACACACAGTAGAAAGCATTAACCCTTTCAGGGTTTCGGACGTACTAGTACGGCTTACGCACCAGGGTTTTTGACATACTAGTACGCCTAAATTCTAGCGCCCTCAAATCTAGCAAGAGAAAGCTGGTAGGCCTACATATGAAAGAATGGGTTTATGTGGTCAGTGTGCACAGTATAAAAAAATTCTGCAGCACACAGTGCATAATGAGAGAAAAAAAAACTTTGACCATGTTTTTGGATTAAAACAGCGACTTTGCACTGTATTTTTGTATGGTATTTATTGTTGTATTCTAGTTTTCCTGGTCTCATTTTATAGAATGGAAGACATATTACAGAAATTGAGATGATTTTGACTGGTTTTACAATGAAAAGTACCTTGAAATTGAGCTCAAAGTAGCAGAAATGTTCGATTTTTACCGAAGTTCAAAAGTAAACAAATCATGCCAAGCGTCCAATACACGTCAACTGGTGAGTCTAATATTCTTTCACAAGTGCGCTGATATTATTTATATAATTTTTACACTAATGCAGTAAATCTTCTATTTTTTGTGAGAATAAAAATTCAAAGTGGAAAGCAAAAGAATGTAAGAGGGGTGTGGGGACATGACTAATGAACAGAGAAAATGTTATTTTAGTGCCAGGAATGTCTTTCTTGTTTATTCTGGACCCTATTATGAAATTGGCATCTTTTGAAATTTGTGTGAAATTGGCAAAATTGCTAAATTCTGACCACTGTATAGGATAGTTGAAATCGGTAAATGGGTGGTTTCTTGTACTCATTCGATAGGAAAAATGGAGTTCTAGCGAAATAGTTATGATTTTTGTCGACTAGTACATTGGAATTGGCCGAAAATAGGGCTCAAAGTGGGCAAAGTCGCTGATGCGTAAACATTGCCGAGACCGCCAACTTTGCGAGAGCATAATTCCGTAAGTTTTCCATCAAATTTCATGCTTTTGGTGTCATTATGATCGGGAAAATATTCTCTATCTTTTCCTAAGACTTTTTTTTTTTTTTTTTTTTTTTTTTTTAAATTTGGGCCACCCTGAGAACAAGTCTGGGAGAGGGCCTGGGGACCCTGAAAGGGTTAAGAGGCAAGAAGTCATCAACAATCACGAGAAATTTCTTGGAAAAAAAAAATAAAAAATAAATAATAGATACAGTACAATATATAATCTAAAATCACTTAAAACACTTAACTGGTTGGCACCTTGCTGACTCATGTTTTTTTATACAATATTTATGTATGTTCATCACTGTTGTAGATGTGTTTCAGGATACTATACTATATCTAGTTTCAAACTTTGAATGCGTAAGAAATCAAAATAAATGCAATACTAGGGAAAGCAAGAATTTAACATAAAGCAATTGGATTGAATCCTAGACACAGCAAAACATAAGGGTAAGTTAACTTACACCTGCAGCTTCTGTTCACCAAGCAGTATACAGGTCGGCCATCACTAATCTGGCAATCAGTTATCTGGTTCCATCAGTAATCTGGCACTAATTTTGGCTAGCATAATTTCAAATTTCACCATAATACTGACTCAGATCATTATACTGACTCAAATTTCATCATTATACTGACTCAGAAATTGTGCAGATGGTTGTAAATCCACAGCAGCAAGCCAGTGGAGGAGAAAGCAGTGATGAAAATGAGGAAGATATAGCAGAAAGAATCTCTATTGTTAGGTTAATTAAGTGTATTCTAACCTAACCACTCCGTAATCTGGCAAACTCACTAATCTGGCACACTACAGGTCCCAATGATGCTGGATTCGTGATGGCTGACCTGTATACATACCTAGGAGTTAGTTGGGGTGAATAACATAAGGACTTAAAAACAGGAGTAAGCCAGACTGCTTGGCTTTCTTGGGATATCTTATGTTATTAACTCTGGGGTATATAATATTAAAGAGCTTTTCTTCATGCTCAAAATGTAGACTACATACCAAAAGGCATAAAAATCATACTTACATACCACTATAAAGGATCATGCTAATGTCAGCAGTAGCATCCACCAGTTCAAGCTAAGGAAAATTTTGTTTTAATCAGAGGGAAGTGTTAAACTAATAGGGAGTCGTCTAGTGTCTTGGGAATGGGAGACATTCAGGTTTGATGTAAGAGGATAAATCCAGTACCTTGGATCAAGAGTACCTCGCTGGGAATGGTTAAAGGTAAAACCGTACCCAGCAGGGGAAGCAGCAGAAAGGGACCAATTGTCCTTTTTGTACTACAAACACTAATATCCAGTAATGCTATACATACCACAAGCAAAACACACAGTGAGCTCTTCATACAAATAACTTTTTTCGAGACTTTTATTTCTTATAAATTAATTTATCAAACAGTACACTGTAATCTGTATCTAGGGTTTTTGTATTATGATATTCTACTTCTACTGACTTCTGAGATTTACACAAGACCATTTTTGAATATCAAACACCAGTAAACTGCTAATTTTATAACCTAGGTAAAAAGACATTAACATTTTTTTTTAATAACTTTTATAAGCAGGTTTTGAATGTAACCTATGATTATTATTAAATTTAGGGAAAGAACTAAACACAGGTGTAACACTGCCTGGGTAAAGGGAAGAAAATGGGTTCAATCCAAGGAAAGGGAGGAAAAGTCCAATAATTTTTTGGATCAATGGCTCCTCACCAGCACCAAGGAACCTTCTTTCAGGTAATTATCTGAAAAGAGAATCTCATAGCACAGTTGTCAGTGGTAAAATACTTTTGTAGTATATATTATGTGTCATTCCTATGTGGGTCTCTCTGTCCATTATCCTAGTGTCACATAACTCTACTTGAACAGTGCCCAGCTAAGCATAGGCCAACCAGTTAGATTCAGACCAGGATAAGGGGGGGCAGGTGTGATAAGGCTGGGCTTCATCTTACTCCACCAATACAAGAATAACAGTCCCTCCAGTTGTGTCATTGCTACCACTATTCCTTACTATGAAGCCCAAACACACAGTGGCCTGCATGCATGGCCCACACCTGAAGACGTGGGGCTGAATCCTGCTACGAGCAAAGACACCTAGGAGTTAGTCTATTATTGTGGGTCACAATAACGTTTCCTCTTTTTTTGAATCACCAAACCTCAGTGGGAAATGGCCAGGTAAAAAATAGTTTTATTATTACTACGTACATTTATTGGGGGAGCGCTATACCTGTAATGACCATACACCTGGGAATGGAAGGCAATCAGATTTGATCCACTGGTTTTCTTCCTGGGCCTGTAGAAATTTATGGAGACCCCAAATCCCCAATGACAGCTAGTAAATATTAAGCATTTAGTATTTTACATTGTATGCCTGGAACCACATAGTGTCTCTCAACATCTTAATGAATACCAAAGTCAAACCCCTACCCTTCTTAATGATCTCTTAAATTCAATGAAGCATTTGAGAGAATTAGGCCTCTGGAATAACATATGGAGGCTTGAATCATGATTTAGTAGCATAAGGATCATTACAGTAGCTGTCAAGTTAGTTGCATACTGGGGTTAACATAATGCATGGTGTTCTTCTGGTTATAATAGGCATGGGAGGGAGTGGAGAGTAGATTGGGATATGAATGGAGCAATGTCCCACCAAAGAGTAGGTTATAGTAGTGCTTGCACTGTGAATTAGACCCTATAAACGTTGCCAGAAACTAACACTCCTGAGACATACTGATGCTAGCTTAGGGTAGGTTCAAGAACCTAGTGTAGCGTAGGTCCTAAGCATTCATTCTCTTGCACATGATCACTGAGCAGAAGCCTCATATAGGTCAAGGTATACTGCTATAGTCACCAGTCAAGCTAACTTGGGATAGTCACCAGTCAAGCTAACCTGGGATAATCATCGGTCAAACTAACCTGGGCTAGTCACCAGTCAAGCTAACCTGGGATAGTCATCAGTCAAACTAACCTGGGATAGTCATTGGGGAATCTAGCTAGGAACAGACTCCACAACAACGCAAGTTCGCTCCACTTTTTGTATGGGGAGGTGTGACCCTGCTGGACCTTCATCCCATTAACATTAGCAAAGGAAAGAAAACCACCAGACTCTTATGGTGGGTAGAAGTGTTAATTTTACATCTGCCGTGTCAGCGGTGATTGTCTCAGTTGAGCACCTCCTAAGTTTCCACACAACCCTTAGGGGCTAATACTTGTAAGAATTATTATAATCAAAACCAAGTGCTAAACCCACTAGGGTCATACAAACCTATAAGTAATTATTCTTTGATTACAATTGTTAAGTAATATTAATAATATGATCTTAAGCTGAATCAACATTATTTCATTATAGTGAAAACATGTGCTAAACCAGTATGTAAGAGGATTTACTTTTCTGCTTATAGTTTTCTACTTTAAGCCCAAATAATTTCTGGATATTCACGGACATTTTTGCAACTAAGATGAACACTATAATATAACAAACCACAAGTAAGATGAACATAATAATATAACAAACCACAAGTAAGATGAACACAATAATATAACAAACCACAAGTAAGATGAACATAATAATATAACAAACCACAAGATGAACATAATAATATAACAAACCACAACTAAGATGAACACTAATATAACAAATTACAACCAAGATGAACACAGCAACATAACAAACCACAACTAAGGTGTAGCCAGTGAGATCCTTTTTATCTTCCTTATTCTTTGGAATAAAAATCATCGTTTTTTCAGATATTGCTTCAGTCACTCTGCTTGTTGCTGGTGTTGTTGTTGTTGTTGTACTATAGGGCTACGCTGGTCTCAGCGCCGTACTGAACACCAACTACAATATGGCTTCTCAAATACAAATTTTTATTTCTTTGCGAAGGTTACAATGTGTGATTTACATTTTTATAAAGTATTGTTAAGTACAAAGGAAGCCACTAATATGCCTGCTCACATACTACTTAAAACTAGACATAGGTTATGGAGCGGTAAATTTTAACTGTTCATTATTTTATATTATTACAATACTGAGATAGCCAAAATATTATTAATAATAAGATTTATAGTAAAGAAATAGTAAAAGGAAAATAGTTTTACACTTAGTACAATTTACAGTGTTACAACAGTACAATTTTAAGCGTGAATTAGGACCCCAATGGAAATAAGTCGCTGACTTTTTTGGATTATCCTACACATATGCTGCTATGTATGATAATGTATGTAACTGTATTTGTGTATACCTGAATGAACTTATACAGATCTAGCTATCCTAAATTTTCGGGAATTTCTCAATAATAACAATAATAATAATAATATTATTATTATTATTATTATTATTATCTTCATTTCTACAAGTACATGTACAAGGTATACAGTCCTAGTTGACACCAATGACATACTACTATATACAAAACCTCTTGTTATACAGAGCATTTCGGGCAAATCAGATCAATTTTGTCCCAGGATGCGACTCACCAGTCGACTAACACCCAGGTACCTATTTTACTGTTAGGTGAACATAGACAGCAGGTGTCTTAATGAAACACGTCTAAATGTTTTCCAGCCGTACCAGGGATGAGATCCCTGGACCTCGTTGTGCAAGTCGAGTGCGCTAGCAGTCGAGCTACGTCGACCACAATGGAAAGAGGTCACTTTGACTTTTTGGGGTTATCCTAGGCTCTCTACACATATACTGCTATGTATGAGAATGTATGTAACTGTATTTGTGTATACCTGAATAAACTTACTTAGTCTGTAACTTGTTCAGCTATCAAAACGTTGGGGTCCAGTTCCCGGACCCATTATGTACCTCTGTAATCCTTTAAGGGAGGATGCAGCGGATGTAATGCTCTGCACTACACAAATATTGTTGCAAATAGTACAAAATACTGACAAGTTGAAGATTAAAATACATGTGCAACAGTTGTGTATCTTTATTGATGAAACGTTTCGCCTACATAGTAGGTTTCTTCAGTCAAATACAGAGGCAGCAGTAGTAATGAAATAAAGATGATGTAACCAGTCCATCATTCTTGGAGAAAAAGTATTAGAGGTGGTCAGTCCCTCAGCCTGGAGAAGAGTTCAGTTCTATGGTCTGGAACGATATGAAGATAAAGCATGAGAAATCAGTCTTAATTAAATACTGTCGAATGTGAGGTGGAAGATCTCGGACAGTATTTAAGACTCCATTCTCATGATTCAGCTTCATATCGTTCCAGACCATGGAACTGAACTCTTCTCCAGGCTGAGGGACTTACCACTTCAAATACTTGTTCTCCAAGATTGATGGACTGATTACATCATCTTTATTTCATTACTACTGCTGCCTCTGTATTTGACTGAAGAAGCCAACTGTGTAGGCGAAACGTTTCATCAATAAAGATACCCAACTGTTGAACATGTGTATTAATCTTCACTCCACAAATAAACTGCAAATAGAATAAATCTTATGACGACATTTCGGTCCCACTTAACCATTTCGCGCTGAATGACCCACAAATTTAGCGCTTATCATGAATTATTAAAAAAAATTATTACTTGAACTATTAAACAAATTGGAGCAAGACCTCCTCAGACTGTAAACGGATGGGGTTGTAGGCGCCCTTATCAAACACAAACAATAAATATAAATCAGGAACGTACACCGGTAAGCTGTCCAATATACAAGTACAGTTAGAAATAGAAATACAAATAGCTAGAGCTTCATTTAAGGAGGTTATTAATAGAGTATTCAAGAGGTTGCTAGTAGAATTACAGTAAATCAACCATTCAAATCATTATGAAGCTCTGTGTAGTCTGCAGTCAATCAAACAAACGGGCTTCCACATGGATAAATTGTCATTTTTGTGGAAATTGGTGTCACGCCCCTTGTGCAGATATCCAAGAACTAGCTACAAGCAGTATTAAAACAGGGAAGTGTTTTTGGGTATGCCCAAATGAGATAAATCTGTGGACTAAAATCACAAGGGTATTAAAAGAGGATAACATCAAAGCTGCTTTCATAGACAACCTGGAAGCTTTCTACAACAGATGGGAACATAAAAAGTCTGGGCTGAATGGTACTGTCCTTGGTACTGGCCATGTAGTCAGAAACTGTAAGGCTGGAGGTGATGCCCTGGTAGTCAGCAAATGTGGGGCTGATAGTGCTGTCCTGGGAGACAGTAATGGTGAAGCTGGAGGTGCTGTCCTGGGAGACAGTAATGGTGAAGCTGGAGATTTTGTCCAGGTAGTCGGGAATTATACGCAGGAAGGAATACATATAAATGACCTCATAGGGGACAGGAGCCGTAGTGGGGAAACAAGTGTAGTCAAAGATAAGATAAAACCAGTATTGCAAACTAGAAATACCACAGGAAATAGCAAACAAGAGGACTCCACTAGCAATAGTGAGGATATATTACCAAAAACAACTAGTGGGAGCTCCATTGTTGGTGCTAGGGAGGATAGGAATAAGACAGGTAAACATGCACCAACAGGGAATACAGTCACAGAATCCCAAGGCAAACGGAAACCAAGCCTGTGCACATACTATGCACTTGGTATCTGCAGACATGGGAAATCTGGAAAAACAGACGGGACGTGCAACTATGACCACCCTAGAAAATGCCGTGCCCATAAGACAACAGGAAAATGCAAACTCCCTTCCTGTAAGCTTTTTCACCCTGAAATGTGTACCTCTTCAGTACAGGAAAGACTGTGCTATAACTTAAATTGCCAGGCACACCATATAAAGGGGACAAAATGATACAAAACATCCAGGCCATGGGAAAACCTGGGTAGCCACAGCCACTCAAGAGGGAGAGGTTTTTTAGTGCCAGGAAGGAAAAAAAACTGGCAGGAAATGGCAGAAATCGTACACCAAATCCAGTCATTCCTGGAGTGGAACCACAGTCGATGGCCTCCACTCCAAACCAACAGATACAGATACTAATGCCGGAAAAAAAATCCCCCCCCCCAGTACCAACAATACCACCAGTCCGATGACATTCTTCTTTACAAATATACAGGGTCTAAAGCCAGCAACAAACAACAAAATACCTTTCATCCGTGGACTGCTTGCAGAGGCAAAGGCAATGTTCGCGGCTTTCACTGAGACCCACATAAAGGATCACTTGGACAACGAAATATGGATCCGAGGTTACAACCTATACAGATGTGACAGAGTGAACAGGCAAAAAGGGGGGGGGGGTTGGCCTGTACATTGCAGAGTCACTTGTTTGCACAGAACTGCTTAATGCCTCAAATGATGTAGTGGAAGTTTTAGCAGTAAAGGTCGAGAACCAAAACCTAGTCATTGTGGTAGTCTACAAGCCTCCGGATGCAACATCCCAGCAATTCCAGGAACAGCTGTTAAAAATTGACCACTGTCTGGAAAATCTTCCAGCTCCTGCACCCAACATCTTGCTCCTTGGGGATTTCAACTTAAGGCACCTAAAATGGAGGAATATTGCAAATAATATTATTGCAGTAATAACACCAGGAGGCAGCTCTGATGAAAACTCACTCACACGAGCTTTTAAATTTCTGCACAAAATTCAATTTAAACCAGCAAATAATAGAGCCTACTAGACTGGAGAATACACTAGACCTCATCTTCACTAACAATGATGATCTGATAAGAAATGTCACCATATCAAAAACAATATACTCGGATCACAACATAATTGAGGTTCAGACATGTATGCGCGGAGCTCCAGACCGACATAAGGAGATTACTCACGAGGGAGCATTCACCAAATTCAACTTCAATAACAAAAACATAAAGTGGGACCAAGTAAACCAAGTCCTAACCGATATAAGCTGGGAAGATATACTAAGCAACACAGACCGCAACTTATGCCTAGAACAAATTAACTTGGTGGCACTCGATGTATGCACAAGGCTTATTCCTCTAAGAAAAAGGAGGAGTAGATGTAAAATAGAAAGAGACAGGCGCTCCCTTTACAGGCGACGGAAAAGAATAACAGAGCGGCTAAAAGAGGTCAATATATCTGAAATGCGCAGGGAGACACTGGTCAGAGAAATAGCAAGCATCGAACTTAAGCTAAAAGAATCCTTTAGGAGTCAGGAATCGCGGGAAGAACTAAAAGCTATAAATGAAATCGAAAGAAACCCAAAGTATTTCTTCTCCTATGCCAAATCAAAATCGAGAACAACGCCCAGTATTGGGCCCCTACTTAAACAAGATGGGTCCTACACAGATGACAGCAAGGAAATGAGTGAGCTACTCAAGTCCCAATATGACTCAGTTTTTAGCAAGCCGCTAACCAGACTGAGAGTCGAAGATCAAAATGAATTTTTTATGAGAGAGCCACAAAATTTGATTAACACAAGCCTATCCGATGTTATCCTGACGCCAAATGACTTCGAACAGGCGATAAATGACATGCCCATGCACTCTGCCCCAGGGCCAGACTCATGGAACTCTGTGTTCATCAAGAACTGCAAGAAGCCCCTATCACGAGCCTTTTCCATCCTATGGAGAGGGAGCATGGACACGGGGGTCGTCCCTCAGTTACTAAAAACAACAGACATAGCCCCACTCCACAAAGGGGGCAGTAAAGCAACAGCAAAGAACTACAGACCAATAGCACTAACATCCCATATCATAAAAATCTTTGAAAGGGTCCTAAGAAGCAAGATCACCACCCATCTAGAAACCCATCAGTTACACAACCCAGGGCAACATGGGTTTAGAACAGGTCGCTCCTGTCTGTCTCAACTACTGGATCACTACGACAAGGTCCTAAATGCACTAGAAGACAAAAAGAATGCAGATGTAATATATACAGACTTTGCAAAAGCCTTCGACAAGTGTGACCATGGCGTAATA